TTCCTCCTTCCTCCTTGACTGCACCTTCCTCTTTTTCAGTCGTCATTTGGCAGTCCTCTTGGAATTCAATTGGTGAAATTTCTTTTTCTGCCTCTTCCGCTTTCCCTCTGAAAAATTCTGTATAAAATGATTCAGCTTTCTCAATTGAATCAATTCTGTATCTGTTCTTGCCATGTGAACATTAAACCTTCTGGAATCAGCCATCTATAATTCACCTCTTTTTTAAGTAGCAATTTGGTCAAGAATCGGTATTCTCTTCTCATTTCTCTCACTCTTCTGGGTACTTGTTTCAAAACCACAATCTCCTTATCTTTATATTTCAATGTTTTCTCTCTTGCCACTTGCAATATTTGCGTTTTAATGGCTTTCTTTGTAAATCTGATGTGAACTTCTCTTGGTAGGCTATTTCTCATTGCGTATCTTGTGAAGACTCGATAAACCTCATCTATTCCATCCATCATTTTCTCTTCCATTATTTCCAAAGCTTCAGCCAAAGGAGAAAAAGTTGTAAAATCCTAAAAAAGATGGGAAAGTGAAGAATAAAAAGCTAAAAAAAAAAAGGAAAAAATTCTTCAGGTTCTTCAACACCTTAATCCAATTAAGAGGTCTCAAATATAAAAGACTGCATAAGAGAAAAAGAGAAAAAAAGCCAGGAAGATAAAAAGAAAGAAAAAAACAGTATTGGAGGTAGATGGAAAAACAAAAATACCAGAAAATCAAAAAAAGAAAAAGAAAAAAAAAGAAAGGGGAGGGAATCATTAATACTAAAACTTTTCTTTTAAAATAAAAAACAAATGTAAAAAATTAACTTCCAAAGACAAGCATAAAAAAAGCAAAGACAACTTCCAAAGAACTAAAAGTCCAAATAGCTATTTCAAAAAGTAAACTGTTGAGGAGGGGTAGCACAGCTTAGAAAAAATTAAAAAAAACACTGCACTTTGTTTAGTTATCCAAGGCTCTTGTTTGTTTGTTTATTTGATTTGCCAATTGTTTACAAGATAATAAGTATAAGTGTATACATAGTTGTGAATACATGAAATGGGTACATATAAGAAAAATAAAAGAAGAATAAGAGAAACAATAGGACAGGGATGGTAGGCACGTTGGTGCACTTATGCACGCCCCCTACAGGCCTCTTAGGAAAGGGGTGAGGTCAATAGTAGACAGTCTAAGGTTAAAGTTTTTGGGGTTTGGGGAAGAAACTACAGAGTCGGGTAGAGTATTCCAGACATTGACCACTCTATTGCTGAAGTCGTATTTCCTGCAATCAAGTTTGGTGCGGTTAACTTTGAGTTTGTATCTATTGTGTGCTCTTGTGTTGTTATGGTTGAAGCTGAAGTATTCATTGACAGGTAGGACATTGCAATGTATGATTTTATATACCATGCTTAAATCAGACCGAAGACGGCGTAATTCAAGGTTTTCTAGTTCTAGAATTTCAAGTCTGGTGGCATAAGGTATTCTACAACGAGTAGAGGAGTGGAGAACTCTTCTTGTGAAATATTTCTGGACTTTCTCAATTGTGCTAATATCAAATACGTAATGTGGGTTCCAGACTGATGAACTGTATTCGAGTATTGGTCTAGCAAATGTTTTGTATGCTCTGGTTAGTAGTGTGATATTACCAGAGAAAAAGCTACGTAGGATTAGGTTAACAACTCTTAATGCCTTTTTGGCTATGTAGTTGCAGTGGGCTCTAGCACTTAGATCATTAGAGGTGAGTATTCCAAGGTCCTTTACAGAGCTTGGGTCATCAACAAGATCTTGACTATTCAGCTTGTATTTTATTTTCTGATTTTTTTTGCCAATATGTAAGACAGAGCATTTATTTGTTGAGATTTGAAGTTGCCATTTGTTTGACCATTCTGATACATAGTCAAGATCTTTTTGTAGGGTAGCAGTATTGTCTGTGGTATTGAACAGCTTTACATCATCAGCGAAAAGAACGCAATTGCTCTTAATATGATCACAGAGGTCATTTATGTAGAGTATGAAGAGAGTTGGTCCTAGCACACTGCCTTGGGGGACACCACTATTGACAGGTACAGAATTTGATAGGACGCTCCCAATTTTGACCATTTGTTGTCTGTTTGACAGGAATGCTTCTATCCAGTTATTCAGTTGTCCAGAGATTTTATTTTTAGGAGTAGTTTGTCGTGTACCACTGAATCAAAGGCTTTACAGAAGTCTATGTAGATTGCGTCTATTGCTTTGCCCTGGTCGAGTTGTGTCGTCCATATGTTTTTGCAGTGTAAGAGTTGCAGATTACAGGATAGTTTTTTTCTGAAACCAAATTGTTTATTGGAGAGTAGGTTATTTGTCTCTAAGTGGAGGATGATGGATTGGTTAATAATTGATTCCATGACTTTACAGGTGACGCAGCATAAGGAGATTGGTCTGTAATTTTCAACTAGGCTTGGGTCTCCCTTTTTGAAGATGGGGATGACTGTGGCTTGTGACCATAGGTTAGGCAAGGAGCTGGTCCTGAAAGATTTTTCAAAGATTATGCTTAGAGGTTTGGCTATGGCAGTGGATAGCTTTTTTAAGAAGTAGGCACATATTCCATCCGGTCCAATAGATAGAGATGGTTTTAGATTGCGTAGTGCTTTTTCAACATTGTCTTCTGTAAAATCGATATGTATTAGATCATTGTTGTTATCTGTGGTACGGCTAGGAAATACTGGGCATGATCCATTGCTGTTTACAAATACTGAGCCGAAGAATGTGTTAAAGATGTTGGCTTTAATGGTGTCGTCGTTGCAGTCTTTACCATCAGGTCCTATCAAGGGTGGGATGGACCTTGAGTCTTTTAGTTTGTTGTTTACAAAATTGTAAAAAGCACGGGTGGAATTGGTGCTTAGAAGGTTTTCCTCTTGTTTAATATGATAATTGGTGCATTCGGTCTTTATCTGGTGGCATAAATTTTTGTATCGGCTTTTGAAATTGGCAACGTGACCAGATTTGTTTTTCCGCCAGAGTGATCTCTTTTTGGATTGAAGTTTTCTTATTGTTATGGGTAATCTGCTTTTTTGTTTTGTTTTGGGAGTTGTTGTTGGTACATATAGTTTGATGACTCTTTTGACTTCAAGTAAAAATATGTTGTAATGGTCTTCAACAGTATTGCATCCAGTGAATAGAGTTATAACACTCTTCTCCAGAAACTTATCACCTTTTCTTTTTCTATAACCTTCAGCACCAGACTCCAGCTGTTGATAGGAACCCGAAGAGCACCTGCAATAATACTCTCCCATGCTCTTTCCTCTATCTTATCGAATAGCAATGTCCTTGAAAAAAAAGTCTCAGTTCTTTCTCAGCTTTGTCTGGTCACAAGAGAAATAGAATATTTCCAAGCCTCTAGTTGGCAGTGTTACAAAGTTTCTTTGCTTTCACTTTCCCCCTCTTTTTCCAAGCAAAATGCAATAAGAATTAATTAAAAAAAAAGAAAAAGATATTTTTAAAAAAGAAATAACTAAATGGGAGTCTCTAGCCTAAAATAGTTACAAAATCAAAAAGGAGAAAAAAAATAGATGAAAAAGAAAAAACCAGTCCAGTTTCAAAATATAAGATCATGTATAGAAAATCCAGCAATGAGAAAAAAAACATTACTTTGACATTCCTGTTTAAAATCGCTGCTTAATCACTTCTGTCAAAACTTTTACAGATTCTTTCTTTTCCTTAGGGTGTCCTTTCAGATCTTAGAATAAAGAAAAAGTTCTCACCAAACCGGCACACTCTCTCTTTCTGTTCTCTTCCGTTTTGGAGCTGTCCCATCTTCAGCAGCTTTAATGGCTGCCTCTTTGCCGCTGGCAAGAAGAGCTTCTCCTGGATCTACCAGGGACTTTGCGGTCCTGGGATCGACAGGATGCGCTCTTCACTTTCACCATCTCTTCGGGACGGTTTAGATCCGATAGGATCGTCCAGGAGCAAAGATATTGGCAGCGATCTCAGACCTCCAAGATCGCATGCCATATCGTTGTGACACCAGCTCCGCCCTCTCATTTTATTACGTATTTTTTTAATTTCAGGAACAAACAGTATAATGGTTCTTTCCCTCCCTGCTCCACATGCAAGCAGACCAAAGAAATTAATGCACGAGAATACGTCTGAGTATATCTTCTTTGTTTTCCATCAACTTGATGAGCATTCACATTTTAAGCTTATTAAAAGTTAGCTCACCAAATAGCTCATACATAGATTTGATGAGCCTGCACTGATCAATTCATCCACAAGAGGGCCTAAGCATGCATTTATAGAATATACCATATTCTGTAAAAAAAAAAAAAAATAACAAAGGTAGGAAGGGAAACATAACTAAGAAATATCTTTATTAGGATTACCCAAAATATCACAAAATCTGTGTAACATAAAATGTTTGAGAATGAGAGAAATGCTGCCTCTAACATTCAAGTATTCTTCCAGTGTCATTTACACATGGGCATCTGTAAGGAGAGAGGGTCAAAAATGTCAGACTTTGCACTTCCAATATTTCGCACAATGACATCATGAGCCATTTGTTTTCATAAGAGATCATGACAAACTATAACAGGTGTCACTCTACCAATATATGTTTGGAGCTGGGTTGGGCTACAGAATTGATTTGGAAGTGGACAAATGTATCTCAGACTGTTGCTGAGAAAATTCCAAGGACATGTAAGAGCTGAGCTCAACGTAAGGGCAATTTTCTCTTTTTGCAATGCGTATTTTACTATAGTGCCAATAATCATATGGAGAGTTGTGCAAACCCATGTTAAAAGCAGCGAAGCAGCTAACCGTGTTAAGAAAAAGTTATTCTGTCAAATATTGTTCTGAGATGAGGGAAGAAAGGTTTACAGTACAGTAGGCCTTCCTCTAAGAACTGTAAATAACTCCCTAAATAAACAGCTTACAGCCATAACATTCTGAAAGAAATGTCTCAGAGGTTTTTTTTATATGGTCATTCCATAAGTTGCAGCAATGGACTTTGCCAGGGAAAAATACAGGATATAGAGGATTTAGAAGAGAGAAAGAAAGGGAAAAGTGGATCCCTCTTTTTAGAAATCAGTCTCGATTTCTTCATCGGTGTTGTCTGTGAGTGGAAACTCTTGAAGGGTCTTTTGAGTGATGGAACTTCTGGATTGCATGGAACACTCATGGCTTAGAATTGCCTGAGAGAGGAGACGAGAAGGGAAGCAAAAGACCAGCATGAGCATCATTGTTACACCCGGTGATATCAATCCAGAATTTGTTCTTCAAGCGATCTGTTATGGTATCTAAGATCACATATTTCCTCAGCCCTCCTTCCCTCCCTCCCATAAGGGGATTGAAGAACAATTTGAGAAAAAGTTGAACTTCAGGCTCTTGCTTTAGGACAGTCACCAGCCAGCTCAAAAAAGAAAGAAAAAACAAAATGTGAGGCAGAAAATAAAAACCACAGAAAAAAACTAATTATCATTCAAGGTTTGTCATCATTTGCGATGTATTTTGCAAATGGAAAAGCAAAACCAAGTGTGAGGGATTGTGTTTACAAAAGGGGATTGCGTGAAGGACTATAGTGATGTGGCAGTTTCCTAGGATGGAGAGAGCACATTTTGAGGAGAATAGTGGACAGGATAAGGCACAACACAGCCCAGAGCTGGATCGGGGAAAGAGGAAGAGATTTAGGACAACTATTCCTAAGAATTTCTAACGGTGCATCCTTTGTGACGAGAGTGGTAAAGGTTGAGAATCTCTCTATATGATATAAGCAAATAAAGAACTAAACTTGGCTAGATTGTTCTATGACCATTCTTGGGATGGGTCTAATATCAATTTTAAATAAAGAGATATTTAGTTAAGTATCTAATAATTAAAAATAATTAATTAATAATAAATAATACTGTCCTTTGGATATTTATTCTTTATTCCCCTTGGGGTTCAACCACCAGAAATCCACCCCACCCCCATTTTTGTCCAAACTCACAGTCTTCTCCTCTTTGGCTGGGGGGTTTCGTAGAAACCAACACAGAGGCGCATATGCGAGGTTGATCCCTGCAATGATGGCCATGAGCCAAGGGAAGCCAATAGCTCGTATGAGAGCACCGCCTGTAGAGGGACCTGTCAAAAACAATACATTATTCTGACTGTAAAGAACTATCCTTAGTTTAGTCAATGAAGGAGGTGGAGGAAGACTGTGCAGCGATTCTTTGCTTTTAAAATGTGTTTCTCTGTAACGCAGCATAGTTTTCAAGCAGTATTACATTGGCTTGCTTTGTGGCAAAAAATTAAAAGGTGAGAAAATTTGGTTTTAAAAACACTAAGAGTGGATTTAGGACTCAGGCTTCTTTCTGAGAAAAGAATCGCCAATCTTAAAAAAATTAATGCCACAATCAAGCGACAGCATCTATGTGCCCAGAAGAATCAGCAATTTGGGGAGAGCTGTAAAAGTGCTGAAGTACAGATCTTCTTTAGGAACACATATATTTCAAACAGCTGGTAAAGATTCTGCCCTTCCATTTCTGTTCTTCTCACAGAGAGACGATGAACTAAGCATGAGGAGACCAGATGCAGTCATGGGATCAACATGAGTGACTTTGGGCCAATCACTCCCTCTGCCCAGCCTACTTTTGTGTGGGGAAATTGAAGGAAAGAGAGCACTTTCCGTTCCTATATGAATGTCAGGATGTAACAAACACAGTAAATAATTGATTATAATTGCCACATCTCTGCCTTCCAGCAAATTACATCTTATCAATTCAAAACTTACAAACTTACTTCTAACAAACTAAACATCCATCCCACCCACCCCACGTTCTCTCCATTTAGATCCAGACTTAATGATGCATGCATAGACTGATTGAAATCCATTTTAAAATGTTATCTATGATAACATTCTATATTGATTGGAATGAGTCTCCTTGAACTACAACTACATCTGGTTTTTGTTTTCGTTCTTTTTCTGTCAGGTACATGTTAGAAAAAGCTTATTTTTGTAAAAAAAACAATTAGTCAATTAGTTTCCTAGGAATTGCCAATGTATAGATGCAACAAAAAGGTAATTTATGTAATTCATTATAATGCATTTTAGTCCATACCAATAGCAAAGCCCAGACAGAAAGCCACATCAGCAATGGCATAGATGCTGCCATAAACAGAAGTATGGCGAAGATCCACCAAGTATCCCATGATAGGCATCATTGATGAATCCACCATGCCTGTCCACAAAATAAAACAAAAAGATCTAATAAGAAATAGCATTTCATCCCCCATTCATGTTTCATGAACAAGTCATGATGCTTCCAAAATATGCTTGCATTCCCTAAATGTGGAATGAAATAGCCATCATGAACAGTCTGAAATATACATTGTATTCCCTTCAGTTTTGAACCTCAGAATAGTGGCTCTTCCCCACCCCCAGAGTAAGATCTTTTGCCAAGAATTAGTGTGGCCATAAAATCGCTCAGCTGGGCTTGACTGCAGGAAAGTTTCACTTCATTTTCTACAACAATTCAGTTCCATCTGTACCTAGTAAAATTAACTGAAGATAATTGTCCTGAATTGGTTAGTCACAGGTTACCAAGTCTTTGAAAATCTTACCAAGGGCAAAACCAAGTCCACTATTAGGTCCAATAAGTCCATAGATATTATGAGCCAGGGGAATCTAGGGTGCATAAGAGAAAGGATGGATTAAAGCTCAGAAGTCATAACTCTTATTTTTGATGAAAACTTAAGGTGTCAAGTTCAAAGAGTGATTATGCTGTTGCAGCCAATTTCACTTCTCAGCTTGCCACAGAAGCGGGGAGGGAAAACTAGGTTTGAAATGCCAGTTCCAGGAACTGTAGTTGCCAGTTCCAGGTGACAACAAGATGGGAGGGGGAAAACTCTTTAACTATGCTAAAACTACAGGAATGAAGTAGAGCTGATATTGCTTTCAATCTGTGCCGAAATGATGTAGTCAATAAAGTTTTGCATTAAGAAATTAGATCGTCTCAACAGTGCTTGCTTGGGTTCATCAGTCAGATCCTTGACATTAACCCAGCTCTGCCAAAATCCAACTAACAAACCAACATTTGGGATCCTGAGCTCCAGTCACCTTTGGAAGAGCTGCAAAGGGAAGATCAGAGAGATGGAGCACAAAGGAGAGTCAGTGGTGAAGGAAGTCCCAGTGGTGGCCCAGGCAGATTTTGGAACCCAGGCAATGGCGACCCATCCAGAAGCCCGAGTGGAGAGGGTTAAATAACACAGCAACTGGGGAACTGTACCAGGTAGAGGAAGAATTCTGGTGGAGGAGGGTACCGAAGGCAGGCAAAGCCAAGTACCCATTGATTTCCCCTAGAATATCATTCATTCAAGCACTAAGGTGGAGAGTGAAGAGGGCAGTGAAATGGGAGGAATTGGGCAAATGGAGATACCTGGCAGCCCGCCACAGCCCCTCGATGGAGCAGCTGAGGGAAAAGTTCCTCAGCCTGAAAGTACATGGGGTGGAACAGGGGCAGAGGATGGTGCCACTTGCTGAAGTAGTCGCCCTGCCAGCTCCATCACCCCCACTATGTCTGGGGCCAAGTCCATTGGCTACCATCAGTGAGGGGCCATGCCTCCACCCGATCGTGGCACAGGATGAGGAGCCATGAGACCATGCTGAGCCGTCATCCCACCTGCCAGTGCTGCTGGTTGGCTACCACCCCAGCTGGTGGTGGCTGACAATCAACCCTGGCCCTACCCTCCTGGATATGGCTGTATGCCAGGACACTGGGGTACTTACTCCCCAACCCATGGATCCTCTGGCAATGAAGACTACATTTGACGGAAGCCCAGAGAAACTAACTTTCTTCCTAAACCAGTTGTGAGCACACCTAGACCAATACATTCTGGCTTAACCCAACAAGGTAACAAAGGTAGACACCATTTTCGCTAACCTTGAGGGGGATGCAGCAGATTGGGTGAAGGAGTACCATGACAAAGGGGCACCAGAATTAGGGAATGCTGATGCTTTTCTGATGGAGCTCAGAGCCAGATTTGAAGATGACACCCAAGTCCAGTGACCAGAATAGGAGATGCAAACCATCCATTACCAGGGATGGGTTGCTGGGGGTTCGCAGGGGTTTGGAAGATCCTCTAGCTAAGATTCTGTACAGTTTGCAGAACCCCCAAATCCCACTCCTGGCTGGCCATGCCTACCCTCCCCCGCCCCTCCCAGGAATCCCCATGTGGCCCATTTTGGATGCAGGTAAGTACAGGGTGCGCACAGAATAGTGGTGGGATTAAAAAAAAAATACTACCAGTTCTGTGGGCATGGATTGGTGGGTGGTGGGTGGTGGGCCCACCCCTGTTCGTTACCAGTCAGATGGTAATGGGGTACATTCATGAGTTCTGGAGAATTTGCAGGGAAACTGAGGCACTGGCTGGAGAAGCTGTTGGTCTACCATTTTAGAAATGGCTTGAATGAGGAGCTGTTCCACACCTGCTTGCCCTGGGGAATACCCAACTGGATCTGTGACTGGTATTGACTGGCGACAGTGGTGGAGCTCAATATAAAGGAATACAAGAGGCATGGGGGCGTGAAAGTTGGCCAAAAAAAGAGTTAGGAGAGATGCCTATTGGGAAGGAGACCATTGCCCGCATCAATACCAGCCCCCCTGGAGGCCCCAAGGCACAAATCCAGCTTGTCCTTCCAATGTGGCCAGGAAGAACACTGAGCGGCTGTGTGCCTGGTACTGGGCCCCAGCCCTGCCCTAGTGGAAGAAACCCCAAAAGAAGGGATGAGAAAAAATCACACCAGGTCATGGAGGTCACTTCCCCTAGCAGCGAAGGTGAGGAAACTCTGAGTGAGGAAGAGCAGCAGCTTAACCTCTATGAGAGCGACAATGAAGGGGGAGGATGATCCGAAGGTAAGTGGAACCATCATCCCTTGTCAGTCCCCATGAGAATCTTAGCGCCCAAATTAGGAATCCAGGGAGAGGTGAAAACGCTCATAGATTCAGGGTGCATCCGATGCTTAATCAGCTTGCAGCCAGTGCTGAAGTTGGGGTTATGAATGAGAAGGTACACCACCTTATGAATTTTGAGCAAGTGGATGGCTCATTGGCGAGTGGCATTTCATAGCTTGTCCAAACCTCCCATCAGCCCATAAATTGGCTAAGATATTTATGCAGCATATCTACTGCAGTGGTGGGATTCAAATTTTTTACTATCTGTTCTGTGGGTGTGGATAGATGGGTGTGGCTAGGTGGGCATGACCAGGTGGGCATGTGACTTAGTGGGTGTGGCTATGTGGTCATGTGACTTTTTTTCTTTCACAGCACCCTGTTTTTGGCCTAGTGGGAGCAAAAATGGGGCATGGCGGGGCCACACAGCACCCTCCTGCACCCTGTTTTTGGCCTACTGGGTCTCAGGGAAGTCTCCTGGGTACTGAAAAAAGAAGCATTTTGAAGCCTTCAGAGGTAAGTATTACAGCGAGGGGAGGATCAGCTGTCATGCCCAATTTAGATTAGCTAGAAAGCAAGAAATCCAACGATTTCCTGCTTTCTAGCTAAACTAAATCACATGGCATAGCTGATCATTGGAAATACTGGTTCAGCTGAACTGGTAGCATTTTTTACTACATAGGGTGCCAAATCAAATTGTCTTGGACTAGGGGGTCAATTCACAGCCAAATTTTGGAGGAAATTCATCAAACTGATAGGGTCATCCTAGGGGCTTAGCTTGGCTTTTTATCTGAGCACAAACGGGGCTGTGGAACATACTAATACAATGGTGGAACAATTCCTGAATTGCTATGTCAACTATCAGCAATCTAACTGGGCAGAAATCCTGCTATTTGCTGAAGTGGCCTACAATAATGCCTTGCATAGTAGTAGGGGACTTACCCCTTTTAAGGTAGCAATGTGGGTAGAATTTGTGCCAGAATACCCTATCCATGCTAAGGTCAGTGATGAAAGAGGCTCCAGATCTCATCATACTGGGGAGCGAGAAGCATTATGAAGTTAGATTAATTTTGGATTCCAGGCTATATAAGGGAAACCTCCAGTACTTAGTACAATGGAAGGGTTACCCAATGTCAGAAGCATGGTGGGTTAAAGCTCAGAATATGAAGGTGGACCAGTTCATAAGGAGATTCCGTGAAAAGTATCCCCCAAAACCTGGGGGCTCTTCCTAGTGGGGTTATCCCATACATATATGGGATAACATTGTTTACCCTAACTGGTTTGGGTAAAAATAATAAATAAGGTATCATGGTTTGTTAGTTAAAGTGTGTGTAACTTTAATTGCAAGAATGTAATTAAGGGTGTGGTTGTAAAAGCACTATATAAGAAGCGAGGCAATTGCAGCTCGCTCTCTCTGGCTTGAAGATTACTTGATGGATTGATGACTGCGTTCTTGCTGAAACGGGGAGAGAATAAGGAGTGTTGATTTTTCTCAACGGAGAGAAGATAAAGATTGGACTGATTTATTGTAAGTGAACTGACATTGGCTATTCAACACGGACTTTGCAAATAGAGTATCCCCGACAAGACTTGAATGAAATTGATATATGACTAATGGACCGTTTATTTTGACTATGCTATAATTCTTAAATGGAATAAACTATATTTTTGATAGCACAAGTGTATCTGTATTTTTACTGCGTGTTAACTAGAAAACTTATCTCACACATTTACCTGTCTTCCTATCTGACTTCGCTGTACATTCTGTTTAGTTTGTTTTCCTTAACACCCGTTGGGGAATCCAGGCTTAACAATGGGATATGTTATATGTATTTACTATTTTCCAGGTACCCTCCACATGCTAGGGGGGTCCAACTGTCAAATTCAACATGTGATTATGCTGTTGCAGCCATTTTCACTTCTCAGCTTGCCACAGAACCAGGGGGGAAGGTAGACTAGGATTGGAAGGCCAGTTCCCAGTGACAACAAGAAATTGTCCCATGGGAACCAAGGTCATCTAACCAGATGGTCGGCAAGGACCTGGACAGGTTTCCTTAACAATACCTAGACCTAATTGGACAATGTGACCTGCACTAATGGTGGGTATGGGAGAAACTATTATTTAACTATGCTAAAACTGTGGGAATAAAGTAGAGCTGGTTTTGCTTTCAGTCTGTGCAGAAATGATGTAGTCAATAAAGTTGCCTTAAGAGTTTGGATTGTCTCAACCGTGCTTGATTGGTTGAATTCATCAGTTGGAACCCATTGACATAAGGCAGTAGAAATATTGATGCAACATTCAATCATTAGACATAATGGGTTGAAGTCAGCTCCAACCTTTAAAACCTTTTAGAAAACCCTCAAAGTATATTTTTCTATCAGTCTTTTGGATCTCCTAGCATATCACGCCAAGATATGCTAAGATTTGTTTACTCATGGTTTAATAAAACTAATTAGAATACACAATAAATCATGGTTTCTAAACTATAATGAGTAGATTTGCATAAGATTTGCAGAATAAAACACCATTGCTTAGCTCGGTTTATGTCCTAACCAGGTCAGATTCTAGTTAATTTGAAGGAGTTTACTAGACTAGAACCATGAAGGACCATAGAAGAAAATGGTGGCATAGGATGGGAAAATCACACAAAAATTGGTAGAAGATTGGAAGGAATTTTTTTCCTTCACTTTTAAATTTCCCCATGTTTTGTCATTGTTTATTAGTATATGTCTTTTCTTATAAAATTCTGTTAGGATGCAGGCTGCCACCTCCATATCCTCTTTGAAACTCCTGTGCTATCTGCAACAATGTTGGCAGATATTAAGCTAGAATTAAGACTTTTTGCTTGGTTTCTTCATTTTTGGGTTATGCAATGTGTTGTCATACTCACACAGAGGAGGCTGACTCCTATGACCATCATCCCAATCAATGAACACAGCCAGCTGCCAAGAAAAGCAATGAAGAAACAATATCAAAAGTTTTGAAGGCTGTTTGAAAGATTCATCTTGCAAATTCAATAAAACCATCAATACTGGGATACCTTTCTTTGCAGAAATCAACAATAGATTCCCCTGTCAGAACTGTCCTAAAATACCTGCAATAAATATCTGTGGAAATTTAACCAATAGGTAGGTAGGTATGTAGATCTTTTACTGCAGGCAAGCTAAAGAATGCAGGATAGATGAATAAGGAATGAATGGATAGATAAGTATAGATGGGGTTAGGTATGGAGGAATGGAGATGACAGATAGATAGATGATAGATAGATAGAGGGATGGATGGAGGGATGGAGGGATGGAAGGACAGACAGACAGAGGTTAGGATAAATCCTGGTTGTTGTTTTTCTCCTGAACATCACAAAGGAAGCACTCCCAAAAATCACTCCTTTCTCCATGACAACACCATCACAGATGCAACAAGATTTCACAATTCTTCAACATTCAAAAATCTTTTGAACTTCTCTACTTACCGCCCCATTTTATTCGCCAGTATCCCAAAGAGATTGGTCCCAATTAAATAAGATATACTAGCAGGCAGAAAAGCTACACCTGTAAAACAAAAGAAAACCATTTGAAAAGAAGGCATCACAGCATTTCCAAGGGCAAAAGTCCCTTCCTGAGCCTTTGCTTAAAATGCTATTGTGTATGTTTGTACTTGTGTGTCTGTACATAAATTAGTTGAATGCAAAAGACATATTCTTCAACAAAAATAAGAAACCAGAGTGTCACTGCAGGTCGTCCTATAAAGAAACTCAGTATTCAATTGAAAGTAGACAGTATATGGAGGTCAGTTCTAACAAAAGATACTAAGCATGATAATTCAACTCAACCTTTTAGAGGCAGCATCCAGTAGCTATCTCTTAGATAGTGCTAAGAGATAGCTAATCTTATCTCTGCAAAATTTATCTAGTGCTTCATAAAATTCAAAACAAGTTTCATGGTCAAGTCCTTGCAGGTATTGACCAGTGGTGGGATTCTACCTATTTGGCCTGGTTCGGGTGAACTGGTAGTAAAAAAATGCTACCATTCAGGTACTGGTTTGGCTGAACCAATATTTCTTTCTTTTTTCCTCCTGACTATCAGCTGTTCCAATGATCAGCTATGCCGGGATCCCCCTTGCTGTCTTACTGCTTCACCCAGGTGGCTTCCCTGAGGTCCAGGAGGCAAAAAGTGATGTGGGTGTGGGTGTGCTGCACAGCCCCCCTGCGCTCCATTTTTTGTCTTCCTGGGATTCAGAGAAGCCTCCTGGGAGCAAAAAATGCCCCCCCCCCAGGAGGCTTTCCTGATGCCCAGGAGGCCAAAAAATGGAGTGCGGGGGGAGGGGGGGAGTGCTGCACAAAAAGAAGCCACGCCCACCCAGTCACATGGTCATACCCACCTAGCCACCCCCATGGAACCAGCAGTAAAAAATATTTGCATCCCACCCCTGGTATTGACCTACTGTCCATCCCTTCCTCCCTTGTTTCTACTTTACATGATAATAATTTGCTTTCCAGTTATAATTGAACCAAAATCAAACATTTGACAGACTGTCACTTATCATTAATTTATTCTCCAGCAGGTGACAGATGTTATCACTAGCATCTCTGTTTGCCTGAAAATGACACAATGGGTTTATAGAAATTCAATCATTAATGTTTACTTTTCTATCAATTTTTTACTTGTTTTGCAGGTCCTCTGTGGAAATTTGCGTTCTTTTTATATTGCTAAGAAACAGCAGGTTGAGCAAATTAAAAACAAAAAAGTATTAGTTGTTCAAAAACTATTCAGTGTGTAAATGTCAGCCAATAGTGTCAACCTGATTTTACAGCATATCTTTTCAATATATTTATATTTAAAGGAACCATGGTCACTGCAGAATAAATCCTCTCAGATCTCCTGGTTTGTTTGTTTTTAATCATGGTCATGATAGCAGTATTCCAGGATTTGAGGGGCTGCCATAAAGAAGAGGAGGTCAACTTATTTTTGAAAGCACCTGAACAACAAATGACAGATGGAAACTAATCAAAGAGAGAAGCAGCCTGGAATGAAGGAGAAATTTCATTAACAGTGAGGACAATTAACCAGTGGAAGGGGTTGCCTTCAGAGGTGGTGAATGCTCCAACAGTGGAAGTTTTTAAGAAGAGACTGGACAGTCACTTGTCTGAAATGGCAGTGGGTCTTCTGCTTGAGCAGGGGGCTGGACTAGAACACCTCCAAGGTCCCTTCCAACTCTATTCTAATGATTGATTGATTGATTGATTGATTGACTGATTGATTGAAGATCCATTGTATGCAATTATAAGGTTTTTTTTATTAAAGGAACAAACAAAAGTGTTCTAATATTTATTTATTGTGGATTGGAGATCCTTGAATATGATATTAAATATGATTCTTTTATAGCTGAAAAAACATCCATCCCCATCCACTGAAAAAAAACATAATCTGAGCCATCTAGAGATACCAATAAGAAAGTTTTTTTTTTTCAATGAGTCAGCTCTAAATGACATTAAATCTGGATCTCACCCATTGCTGTTTCAATTGTTAAGCAAAACTAATACATGTTTAGGATTTCCTTTCTCCATGAAATTCATCCTGGTTCAATTTTCTTTTTTCTTTTTAAATACATTTTATTAAGTTTCAAATTTTAAAAACATAAAATAAAACTTTATACATTGTTATCAACATCAAGACATCTTTTGCATCTCCTCACATTTTTCACTATATGTTTCAGTATATGTATTTACTTATTCCTTTACCATTACGTCTTACTCTTGCTATAAATCAATATCTTTTATCCTTACATATCAATCTTCTCCATGGTATATTTACATATTTACATATTCCTTCATTCTTTTCCTAATTGCCATTTTATTTTCTTTTTATTTCTAAACCACTCATACCAGGCATCCGAAGCCCTATAATAAATTGAATCTTTTCTGTCTTTTATTTTCATCGTTAGCCTGTCCATCTCTATACAATCTATTATTATTTTTTATAACCATGCCTTCCGGTGGAACCCTTTTTTCCTTCCAGAGTTGTGCGTACGAGATCCTTGCAGATGTTAATATATGTAACATGATATATCTATCTGTTTTATTGCATTTTTGTGTTATTATACCTAATAAAAAAGTTTCCGGATTAAGTTCAATTTTCTGTTTCGTGATTTCTTCGATCCATTGTCTAATTGTATTCCAATATTTTTTTACTTCCTGGCATGTCCAACAGGTATGAAAATAAGTGCCTTTTTCTTTTCCACATTTCCAACAATTTGGGTCTGAGTTAAACATTTTTGCCAGTCTAGCAGGGGGAAGGTGCCATCTGTAGAACATTTTGTATTGATTTTCCTTGTATGCTGTGGATGTAATTAGTTTGTATTTTGATCCCCACATTCTCTCCCAGTTTTCCAGGTCTATACTATGGCCAACATTTTTGGCCCATACCACCATCATCTCTTTGACCACCTCCTCTTCCATTTTAAAATCTAGTAGAAAGCTATATATTCTTGAAATAATTTTCTTTTCCATTTCTTGTAGAATTTTATCTAATTGATGCTTTTCTGTGCAGAAACCAAATTGCTCTTTGTCCTTCTGGTATCTCGCCTGGATTTGCATGTATGGCCACCAATCTATCTTTATATTTTGTTGCTGTAATTCTTGACTCATTTTTAATCTTCCTTGTGTGTCTAATAGGTCTTTATAATTCCTCTTTTTTCCCAGATCCATTGCGTTTGGGTAGATTTGTGCTTCCATAGTTGACAACCAGTTTGGTATTTTAGTATAATGATTCTTTTTAATCTTGTTCCATGTCCGAATTAATGAATCTCTAATAATGTGTCTCTGAAAATATGCATGTTGTTTACATTTCCCATCCCATAAGAAACTATGCTACCCTCTCTGCAATACTCTATTGACAATACTCCTCTATTTTCCAGGTTGATCCAATCTTTAATCCATACCATAGCCACAGCCTGGTAATACATTTCCCAGTCAGGGAGTCCAAAGCCACCCCTTTCTCTTTTGTCCTTAATAATTTCATTTTTATACTGGCTTTTTTCCCATCCCAAACAAATTTACTTATTATTCAATCTAATTCTCTAAAAAAGGCTTTATCCAATCTTACTGGTACAGTTTGAAAAAGATATAGTATTTTTGGTAGAGTAGACATTTTAATTGCCACAATTTTCCCCAGTAATGATAGCTGTAATTTCCACCACATTTCTAATTCTTTTTTAATTTGTATTATTAATTTGTCATAGTTATCTTTTTTGATTGAAGAGCATCTTGCTGTTAACCAAATGCCTAAATATTTTACCTTTTCACACTTTGCATTCCTGATTTTCCTTCTAATTCTGGTTTGTTTGTTTGTTTGCTTATCTTTTAAATTTTTAGTCAATAATTTTGTTTTGTTTTCATTAATCTTAAGGCCTATGACCTTGCCAAATTCCTCTATTTCCTTTATTAATTTTACTCAACCAATGGCATCATTTTAATCCTCCCGCCGTTTAGGCAGCCAATCATAATCTATTGTTAACCACCAATCGCTAGGCAGTAGTGATTGTCCAATTGGAATGTAGTATTACTAGTATGCAAATGTCTATATACAACACCCCTCCCCTCTTGGTACGGTCCAACTTTACGTGACGTAGTCACGCAAATAGGCGGGGCTTTTGTGGGTCCTACTTGACCTGAGCAGCTCAGTCTCTGTGTTGTCTTCAATCGGTTCGGACGGGATCGATGTTTCTCCTGCCCTTCTCTCAGGAACCTCCTGGAAGGGTGAGTCAGCCATGCCGCTCCCGCCGGGCTTTGTTAGGTTGGTTGAGCGGGCTTTGCCGCTCCCTTCTGGCTTACTCGGGCAGGTAGAGTTGGCTCGGCTGCTTCTTCCCTGGTTCTCCTCCAGCTCCCTTCTTTCAAACTCGCCTGTTGGTAAGTAGTTTTTATTTGTTCTTGGGCTTTCTGTTGCTGGTTGGTGGCCTGTTTTTAATTGTGTTAAAGGAGGGTCTTCCTTTTCTTTATTATTAATTTTCTGCCCATTAAAAGTTCAGCTGGACTCTTGTTTGTTGATGTGCACGGCATTATATGTTGAATTGTGAGCATTGTATTTATTTTGTCTTGCATGTCACCCCCTTCAAGTTTTTCTAATGCTTCTTTCGTGTATCGAACCATATGTTCCGCCCGTCCATTTGACGCCAGATGAGCTGGCGCTGTCAGGGCATGTCGTATGCCTTGTTCTGCGAGGAATTGTTCAAAAGCTAAGGCTGTGAACTGTGGGCCATTGTCCGAGACTAACACGTCTGGTAATCCATGAGTGGTGAAGAGTTTCTTTAGTTGTTTAGTGACGGCTTCAATCATTGTTGAACTCATGATGCTGACCTCCAACCAGTTCGAGTAGGCATCGACAATGATTAAAAATGTATATCCCTTTGTGGGTCCGGCGAAGTCTATGTGGATCCTTGACCAGGGGCTCTGGGTGTCTCCCAGTCAAGGACCGGTGCTAAAGCGGGGAGGTAGGTCTGGACGTCTGGCATTTATTACATGTTTTTACCCAGGTTTCAATGTCTTTGTCTATTC